CTTTAAAAAATAAAAAAAATTAATTTATGAAAAATTTCAAATAAAAAAGGTTAAACCCCTATTTTGGTCCCTGAATTATTGTATGGACCCCGATTTGGTCCCTGAACTAAAGAAATATCTAATTTGATCCTTAAACTATTGTACGGACCCCTAAGTTGGTCCCTAAATTATTGTACGGACTCCCGAGTTAGTCCCTAAACTATTACACGGATCCCCAATTTGGTCCTTACTGTTTATCAATTTAGCCCCAACTTGGTCCTTCTATTAAATAATAGCTTAAGGACCAAATTGGGGCGAAATTGTAAATAGTAAGGATCAAATTGAGGGTCCGTACAATAGTTTAAAGACCAACTTAGGCTAAATTATAAATAGTGGGACCAAATTGGGGTCCATACAATAATTTAGGGATCAAATCAGGGATTTCTTTAGTTTAAGGACCAAATCGGGGTCCGTATAATAGTTCAGGGACCAAAATAGACATTTAACCAATAAAAAACTATAATTATTTTAGAAACAGATGGTGTAAAAAAAAAACCAAACCGCTCAAGCTGATCATAAAAGCCTAATAAACTTACAGAGAAGATGAGAAGAGGTGGAAAGAATTGAGCCCTTAATTCCTCCTCAAGCTGAAACTGTAGGTAAGAATTCTTGACCACTGCTGCTATCGAAGGCACAGACAAAAACCCTCTGCTTCTACCATTTATTATCTCTATCTCGATGACCTTTATAAAGACCTTTAAACAGAAGTAGAGCTAAGAAGGTGATGGCAATGGGGAGCGACGTGAAAATCTTTCGTCAGATTAGCATTACCTGTTCCCTCCTGACATTTGCTGCCACGTGGACGGCAAGGATATGAGGGAGAAAAATTGGACGAAGATAACGCAGAGAATGTTTATGACGGGACGTACTCTGTCCATTTGGGGAATAGTAACTTCCGCTCACTGAATGGCTGCCAAAATTTTAAATATCTGGCGGGGGTGGAATCCAGTGCATTAACTCATAGATAGTGTTTATAGGATAATATTTTTATATAATTTTTATGTATTATTA